CTTGCCGGATGATGAGTTTTTCGGCGAATGTTATCTCCTCAGTTGAGGATGTAGTTGTCGTCAGCGATTTTGTTTTCGGGGCGAAAATTTTGCCTGTTGTCGCTCTACGGATGAAGCGAGCACAGCACGAAGTGACTAGTAGCAACTTGGAGAGACAGTTGGTTTGCTCTAGAGGTGATACTGGGTGTCTGTCTTCTTCTGTGGACGCGGAGGTGCATGCCAAGTTCTCGTCGTCATTGTCGAAGTTTTGTTAACGGAGATTAGTTGCATCCTTAGCAGGCCAGCAATCAGTTGTGGTATTCAACCATATTGGACCAGACCACCAACGGTGACATTTTATTCCATTTTTGGTCACCTCTCTAGTTGCGAAGTCGGCTATATTCTCATGTGTTGGCACATGGTAGAATGTGACATTGCTGGTATCACGTATTCTTTTTGCGATGAGTCCAATTTTCCGGACGAGTGTGGTTACCATAGTTGGTAGACGTCTGTATCCTTGTATCCAACATAGGGCAATGGTTGAGTCGCTGAAGAGGTTGACTTTTTCAAACATGATGTCTACCTTATTCATGGTAGACTCTGCTAGACTGAGTCCTAAAAATATAGATAGAAGCTCTAGCCGAGGAATATTTGTTTGATCGGCGCAACTTTTGACTTCGCGGTGAAAAGCTTTGTCTCTTTGATGCCTTCGCAAGACGTCGTTGTTACGTAGATACTGCAAGCGTACGCCCTCTTGGAGCTGTCCACGAATATTGATATCGTATGACTGCTGGTCCCGTTCTTTTCCGCAACTTTTCTGGGCAAGTTCACTTCAAACCCAATCACATTTGATGTGATGGATCTCCAAGTGTTTTGATCCTTTTCAGACAAGACGTCGTCCCATCAGTACCTCTGTTTGTGAACATCCTGAAGAAATATCTTGGCAGGAACCATTAGCGGTGTTAGTAGGCCAAGGGGATCGTAACAATATCCGTTGATCTGGCTGAGAACTGTTCTTTTGGAGGTCTTGTTTGCTTGCTTCTCAATGCATTGCAGAGTTATGATGTCTTCTACGGCGTTCCATTGCATTCCAAGAACCTTTATTTCGATAGAGGCCGGTTGATCACATTCGGCAATGTTCTTGTTGACGGTAGCAGAATTTGATAGGTTATCCCGCGGGTTCATCCCGATGGAAGAGAATAGTCGCTTCGACTCTGTATATTTCTTCAATAGTTCCTCGGTAGTTCTGCCTTCAACGAGTACGTTGTCTACGTAGAGAGAATTGGATAGCTCTGATGCAATGTCCGATTGCGATTGTTCTATATGCTT